TAAAACCTCTCCAGCCCGACACTCAGGCTCTTCATAAGCTGGCCCCATCCCTCCACAGCCCCTCTCTGCACCCTGCAATCAGATCAACCTCAACTGTTTTCCACTTACTGCCCCGGACTTTCCAACCTCCATGTCTGGAATAATTTTCCTTGCCCCCGGGAAAGGCCAATGAGAACCTGCCAGAACTTCAAAGACCCAATCAATCATCACTACTGCTTTGCTAGTCCAGAGCCTTCGTCTGAATCTCACAGCACTATTCGGTCCTTGGATTGTCTTCTTTTAAAGGCTGTAGGTTCTTTGAAGGAGGCAGCCAGGAAAGCTGATGCAGAAAAATGAACATAGAGTCAGATGGACTTAAATTTGAATCCTGCTCTTGCTGTCTCTGTGGCCACAGGCAGGTTACTTACTTTTTTTTTTTTTTGAGACAGAGTCTCACTCTTTTGCCCAGGCTAGAGTGAGTGCTGTGGCGTCAGCCTAGCTCACAGAAACCTCAAACTCCTGGGCTCAAGCGATCCTCCTGTCTCAGCCTCCCAAGTACCTGGGACTACAGGCATGCGCCATCATGCCTGGCTAATTTCTCTATATATTTTTAGTTGTCCAATTAATTTCTATTTTTAGTAGAGACGGGGTCTCGCTCTTGCTCAAGCTGTTTTCGAACTCCTGAGCTCAAACAATCCGCCTGCCTCAGCCTCCCAGAGAGCTAGGATTACAGGCGTGAGCCACCACGCCCGGCCCTTACTGTCTTTAATCACCTGTTTCTCCAAATGGAAGATTAAAGTAACAACACTTCATAGACCTGTGGCAAAAATTATATGAAATAGCAAATTGGCATCTGGCACACAAACATTTTTATGCATTTTATGAGTTTTTTTTTCTGTCAGGTTCAGGTTACTCAGTTTAGATCAGTTTAGGTTGGTGCTACCTGTGGTAACAAAGCATCTTTTTTGGTTGTTGTTACTTTTTGGATTGGCTATAGAATATAAATGCAAACATTTGAAAATTTCACATTTATTCTTATTT